AGCTACAGAAAACATAGTTCTAGGCGAACAGATTAGAAAATAACGTTTCTGGTGTGTGTTGGTTACTACTGGCTATGTTTTGGCAAGGATTTAGTAGCTCAGAAAAGAATTCATTGTTTAAGCAGAAATGAAAGAGAATACAGATACTTGAGAAAATTGAACATTTCAATATTAGAACACCTGACAGGTTTTAGAGTCCAAACATTGAGAAATTGAGGAAGCCTTTAAGACAAAGTCCATTAAAATAAACCGGTAAAAAAGCCAAATTAAAAATATGTTCTTCACACTTATTGGTAATACCTCTCAATAAATTAAGGAACTTCAGGGCAAAGAAAAAATTAAGATATTCTACTGGATAAAGAGCCAGGACCAAGATCAAAATAATGGTGTGGCTTTTTCATAGGGAAACAGTCTCGTGTTTACTCAGGGTACCTGTAACATGAGAGAGAGATAATGAGCAACAGCATATAGTAGATCTGAGAACCATGTTTTGAAAGAGTTCTGAGGCTGAAAGTCTGAGATCAAGGCACCATATGACCACTTCCAGTGCCCTCTTCCTAGGTCACACCTGGTGCCTCCTTGCTGTGTCCTCACTTGGTGGAAGGCTCTCTGGAGCCTCCTTATAAAGTGGAAAACCCTTGATTCTTGTGACCTCACACTCTGCAGGGTTCTGCTTTGCTATCTTCCTTGGCCACATACTTAATGGGAATATGTCCTTCTTGAGGGCTTGTGCTGAAGCAAAGAATAAGTGGCCATGGATGATAAAGCTTTATCACACATTAAAATCACTACTAAAAATTTTTTGAATTGATAAGAAAATATAATTTAGTTTACCAAAATTCCTAATAGACATAGGTTTTAAGAACCATGGAAGGAAAACTAGGATCTCTAACAGCCTTCTGGTGTCAGATGATGACGATGACAATGATGATGATGATGCTAGGTTTTCTGAGTTAAAATAATCATCTTTTGTAAGAAAAAATGTTTTTTTTTAGTGTGTGAATCTGTGAATACTTAAAATTTTGTATAGGTTTAAAAAATTCATGCTACGAGACAGGGGAAGTAATTTGTAAAAAGGTTACTTGAAATGTCTTGAGATTGTTACTTAACAAATGACCCTCCTGTGTCAGGGAAAGAGTCTGAAGAACCTTTATAAGCGTTCAAAAATCTGAAGATAGTAATGGGTTCAGGTTTTCAAGTACATAGATAATATATTCACACATTATAACATGGAGAAAGATATTCTTAAAGACTAAGAGTGTGTCAGACTTTCTCAATTTACGGGCTAATTCTGGCACCTAAAATTGTCTTGCGCATTGAGTATGCTTAAAAGATGTATCTTTATTTGATTTTATTCTTGTTAGTGGGTCTTGGGGCCAGGACTAATACTCTCCTAGAATCTGGCAGTCATATTCCAAGTGGGTCATAATATTAGTCTGAGTTCTCATGAAGACCACAGAGAATAATGTTTGAGAACTAGCTCACTGGAAGACAACTGTAAGGAACTTTCAGATTCAGTTTGAATGCGTATTTCCTGTCAAGAGTTTCTCTTGCTTTGTTTTCCAAGAAATGTTTTGTGCTTTCTGAAACCCATTCCTGACACTGATAAGGACAGTGCTAAATAACAAAGTGCTGCAGTTAAAACAAAACAAAACCCATAATCATTGCTTTTCCAGTGTACTTAACATGAGAATCTCTCACTCATTTCTTAAAAGCTAAAGTAAATTGATGTTAAACTATAGGTTTTCAAAAGTGTAAAGGTCTTTCACATACTTTTTAGTCTGCTCTTGGAGAAATCCTTAAATCCTCTCCACACCATTAGTATGTTACTCTATTTCCACTTCTGAGCGATGTCTTCTCAGAACAGAGCTGAATATAAAGGGCCAGGGAATTTTCAATAGACACAGACTAGAACCACCCACTCACTGCTCCAGAGGTGGTGGGGGTAGATGTCAAGGTCCTAGGCTTAATTGCAGGTACTGGGAGAAAATTCAGGCTGGCAGGCAGAACCTGGGCTCTCAAAGCTATGGAGACCTGTAATAAGTAGAATGATTATCAGTATCTGGGAGATCCCTAACTGGGAAGAGCAGTGGCAACCCCAAGAGGTGGTGTTTGGAGACACAAGCTAACAGGATAATAAGTCAGGATGCAGCAGAGCCTGTGACAAGTTTCAGGGGCAGGATTGTAAACTGCATCTGGTCTGTAAAGTCCTTAAACATGACCTTCCACCTGCAGCTCTGCCCTCATGATGCCCTACCCTCCTTCTCACCCTCCATGTTCCCTTTCCTCTGGCTTTCTTTCCACCATAAAATATAACGCTCCTTTGCACCCAGAGCCTCGATCATTCATATTTCTGCTTATATGTCCTCTCCTCATAGACACTTTCTCAGGACTCACTCTACCACATGATTCCATTTTAATTATGTGCATAGCCTTGAGGACTTACTCTGCTTTACTATATTCCCACTAGAATATAAGCTCAATGAAAGCAGGCTATCTCCTTGTCTTGTTTCTTCTTGTATCTGATAATACCAGGTACTTTTATAGGTATCTAGCATATTCTGACATGTTGGTGAATGACTGAATGAACAAATGAGCTAATTAATAAAATTGTTAACAAATGAATTACTCTAGCTGGGATAAAGGACTGACAAAAGTTTCTGTAACTAAAACTATCTATAAATCAAATCATAGACTAAATAACAGGGGCAAGAGAGAAGAGGAAGCCTGTTGCCAGTTGCAAAAATCTTAATAAATGAAGGGAATGAAAACAGATGGCAGGAGGTGTGCTGAAGAACTTAAGCCTTGGAGGAGAATAAACCATTAGAGGATGGTGGAAAAGCCATGGTTTTGACAAGGCAGTAATGGGAGAATGGGAGCCTTCCTTCTTGTTTTGTGGGAGAATAAATAAACTTCACTCGAGAGGACAGAAGAGTACATCTTAGTTAGATTACAGTTAAGGGAGATTTGGATAAAGTGATCTGCACAAATGTTGTGGATATAGGGGATTTGTTCAGGATGGTATATGAAAAGTGCGGAGGGGAGGCAACATCTTAGAGGAGTGGAGTGGGGGTGAAGAACAGTCCAGAAATAAGAGGAGAGTTACCTGGAAGGAAAGGAAGATCTTTTTTTGGAAATGTAGGATTACAGAGATGACAGCCATAGCAGAAGGGATTTGCCTCGAATGTGCACCTTTGTTGCAAGTTTACAGGGAGCTGGGCAGTACTCGGTCTGATCTCAAAGATGAGGGCCTCAACTGATCTACATGACAAACACCGATTTGGGGGTGGCTTTTTCACACACACACACACACACACACACACACCGACTTTTCATAAAAATGCTATGGAATGGTGGTTTTGTGCCAGGCACCTGTGGTGTGAGGTAGCTAAGAAAGAAAGTTGGGGTAAGAAAAGCATAATAGGTTTCTTGCCCCCTTTTAACAATTCACTCAATTCCATAAGCTATTTATTATTCACAGGAAAATAAACAAACATAGTGGATGGGTGCCAACAGTGACCAGTTTGCTGTGACCTACCCATCCATACTCCATTCCACACATGCTCCTTGAAGTGAGGTGGACAGCTAAGGACACACCAATTCTCTGAAGGTCATAGAGGATTGCTGAATCATGGAATAGAACCCTTGGTCTAAGATTGAGCATTTGGATTCTTTAATTACATATGCACCGTAACTTGCTGTCTATTATCAAAAATGCAAATAAGATGTAAACCCTCACATTGAGCATCAATTTAATAGGCACATGCACAACGTAAAGGTGCTTTTACACAGGTTGCTAAGTTCACTTGTCCCAACAATCTTGAGAAGTGAGCACCATTACCTTGCTTTTACAAATGAAGATGCTGAGTCTTAGAGGGACTAATTTATTGAATTCAGACACAAAGCACCTGACTCCAAAGCCCACCTTCTTTCAAGTATACTCGCCTCAGTTCAGAGAAGGCTCTGTTTCACAGAAGTGGTTCAAGTTTGTGTCAGAGCAACGCTGCTTTGAGAAAACTGAAAGTGGAGGAAACCACGTTACACTTAACACTTGAGTAACACTGGAGTTAGGGGCACCAACCCCCACAGTCAAAAATCTGTGTATAACTTTTTGATTCCCCAAAAACTTAAGCATGAGCAGCCTTCTGCTGACTTGAAGCCTTACTGATAACATAAACAACACACATTTTGCATGTGTATTAAGTACTGTGTTCTCACAATAAATCTAGAGAAAGGAAAATGTTTTTTTCAAATTGTCACACATCTCCCTCAAATTTTTCAATATATTTATTGTAAAAATCCCTGCACATAAGCGGAACTATGCACTTCAAACCCATTGGTCAGGGGGTCAGCTGTGGTTCGCTGCAGTTTGAAATATTAAACATTTGGTTCAACTAGTGTTTTTGGAGCAATCATGTCCCCCCACCCCCACCCCTCCTAATCAATTTGGTGGTCACTGAGTAAAAATGTGACACTACTCCAGATACTGAGTGTTAGGACATACCTGGGGAAATAAAAAGAAGCAGTAGTCAACACAGTATATTAAGTCTAATGTCCTGTGGGAGATCCGGTATAGAGAATAGTCAGTGTGAATTAGGCTGGTAGTTCTGTCCACAAAGGGGACATGAAGGGGCATGAAGCGGACAGAACACCATGGCGGCACTATAACTTGGGCTGGGCTTTACTGTACCAAGCTTATGAAACAGAAAACAGAAATTTGTCTTTGAATAATGTCTCCTAGAAATGACCAGGTTTTTTGTCATTATTTGGTCTTACTGGGAGTTGGTTTAGGAACTAGGGTGCTGTTGTCAATAAAGGAAAATCTGGTGTTTTTCCCAAGTCATGAAGGGTAAGGAAAGTCCTTTGTTTGCTGTCGGTTGAGTATAACAAAGGAACAGAGTCTATCCTTTGCCCGAGTTCCAAAACTGGAGGAGCAAGGTCAACAATGCCTCCGGAAAGGGCTGCATACTGGGGAGGACAAGGGTGTCAGTGCTTGGGATTCTTTGTTAGGGTTGGTTTGGCTGAAATATGAAAGCGAAAGATCATGAAACCGGATAAGTCCTCTTCCTTTTTCTGAGGTTGCTTTTAGAGCGGAAAGGCCCAGTCCTCGGTCCACCCAAAAGACCTGAGGAGCTGGGCAGTTAAGAGGCAGAAGCTCCCGGGCCCTGGGGTACGAGCGCCCACGGCGCCCTGGGTAGAAGGCCATGGATAAGTTTCGGGCCGTGCTGGACCTGCACCTCAAGTACCACAGCGCGCTGGGCTACGGCCTGGTGACCCTGCTGACCGCGGGCGGGGAGCGCCTCTTCTCCACCACGGTGTTCCAGTGCCCCTGCAGCGGCACCTGGAACGCAGCCTACGGCCTGGTCTTCCTGCTGGTGCCGGCGCTGGCGCTCTTCCTCCTGGGATACGTGCTGAGCGCGCGCACGTGGCGCTTGCTGACCGGCTGCTGCGCGCGGGGCGCGCGCATGGGCTGCGGCTCGGGATTGCGCGGGGCTCTAGTGTGCGCGCAGCTCAGCGCGACCGCCGCGGTCGCGCCCCTTACCTGGGTGGCGGTGGCGCTGCTTGGGGGCTCCTTCTACGAGTGCGCCGCCAGCGGGAGCGCCTTCCTGGCGAGGTGTCTGTGCGCTGGCCGCAACCCCGACTGCGAGGTCCAGCTGCCACTGGTGCCCTGCCACCAGGCCAAGGAGTCCAACGTGCAGGACCTCCTGAAGGAGCTCAAGGCCCAGTCACAGGTCAGGTGCTGGCGCTGGAGGCGGTGGGGAGGATCCGATCCCAGAAAGGCGGGCTACTGTGGGGCGCACAAGATGAAGCAGAAATCAGTGCCCTTTTAACAGACCTACGACACCCAAAGACAAACTTGGAATGGCTCTTGGCTTCTACTTAGCCGGCAGGCGAATGTTTACATAAAATGAAAGCAAAGGAGGACGTGGTATCAGGCACCTACTCTGTGCCAGGCAGGTACCACGCTAGGTCCTTTGCCTCCTGGATTTATTAGGGCTTTATAGCAAATACACTGAGTCTCGGTCAAGTTGATCGTCCAGCCAGAAGAAGGCAGAAGACTTGTTAGGGGTGCGCCTGGCTCTAAAGCTACTATGGCACACTGCTTCTCAGTTTATGAGGTTCAGGAGTTCTTTAAAATGCTTTTTTCATAGATTAGCCGAAATTCCACTTTTTGCGTTCTAGGCGACACATAGGCTGCTCTCTGGATCCTTGACAGAACTTGGAAAATGCCGGGTCAAACAAGCAGTTGTACTAAGGGGTTTGGGAGATTACTACTACTTCTTTCTTTTAAGGGATTAAGACCTAAAACTTGCTTGATCATCATCAAAACTTTGAGTAGTTGAAACTTTATCTAAGGATTAAAAAATTTCTTATAAAAAATGTGACTAAATTGCTATTTTGTTATTTTTTCCTAAGGTGCTGGGCTGGATCCTGATCGCAGCTGTTACCATCTTGCTTCTGATTTTTACATCTGTTACCCGGTGCCTATCTCCAATTAGTTTCATGCAGCTGAAATTTTGGAAAATCTATTTGGAACAGGAGCAGCAGATCCTTAAAAGTCAAGCCACAGAGCATGCAATGCAATTGGCAAAAGAGAACATTAAGTGTTTCTTTGAGCGCTCACATCCAAAGGAGTACAACACACCAAGTATTAAAGACTGGCAGCAAATTTCATCAGTATATACTTTCAATCCAAAGGACCAGTATTACAGTCTGTTGCACAAATATGTTAACAGAAAAGAAAAGAGTCAAAGTATCAGGTCTTCTGAAGGAGACGTAGTGGTTCCTGTCCTTGGCTTTGTAGATTCACCTGGTATAAACACCAGTGCTGAGTTATGACCTTATTTAAGAATAGGAAAAAAGTTCTGCTTCACTTTCAAAAAACAAACATTGGTATTGTTTATCACTGCCCCTCCCCCCCCCCTTTTTTTGGTCTTTCAAATTGTGGAAATAGAATTTTAAATTTACCTCTCTGTTGCATTCCTAAAAAAAGGACACATGGTTAAATGATTCATTCAAGGTGACAAACTGTAACTAGATCAGAAGTTTTATATTCCTAGTCTAGGATCCTTTTCAACTAAATAGAAATGCTGCTTTCAAATAAAAGACTTTAGTAGCAGAAAGAGTGAAGGGACAACTGAACTTCAGACCTTTCTATTAGGTTATATGATGTCAATTTCAAATTCACTTTCTTACAGATGACACCTTGTTTGGAACTTTAAAATACTGGCATTTTATGGCTTTCAAACAAAAATACAAAAAAATCAGAAAAGAAAATAAATTTTTTAAAATAAAAAAGTTGAAAAACTAGAATAGTTGTATGCATAACTTCTTTTTAGTTTATAGTGTCAGAGGGAAAATTTGATAGCAGCTATAATAAATTTTAAATATTTACAAAGGTAGAGAGGGTAGCTTTACGAACTCTCATGTAGTTATTACAGAGCTTCAACAGAGTGGGTAAGTCACATGAAACCTATACCATACAAACAAATACAGAAATACAGAATTGTGACCTGATTTAGATTTGGGGAAGAGGGAGGTGGGAAAGTCTGTAAGAAACTGAAATCTGTAGAGTAGAAGAGCATTTCAGTTTGCAGAGCAGTATGTACAAGGACGGGTGAGAAAGTTCTTACCACAGTAGGAAGCCTAAAGGCAACTGGACAAAATAAGCAAGGGAAATATCTTGCAGCCCTTTGAAGTCATGCTTTTCATCCTATAATCATTTTAGGAAAATCAATCCTTAAATTGATCCTATTCAGTGGAAAAAGGAATGGCAGGGGAAAAAGTGAGAGCCAAGGTAGAAATGGAGAGACTAATCAGGAGGCCACTGTGGTGGAGATAGGTGGGAGTGCATTTGAACCCGGTTGGTGGTGATAAAAATAGAAGTAGTAGATTCAAGGTAGGTTTGACCATGGACATCATAAAATCTGTTGACAGAAAGGATGCAAGAATTTTTTGAGGATGATGCCTATTTTGTTGCTTGGTAACAGCAGGACTTTGCAGGGGATATTAGATTATCATTCTTGCCTACCCCCCAAATTTATGGCTGTTTTAAAATGAGATATGAAAACTTTTAACTGTAAAACAAATTGAGCACCAATCATATTTAGTCCTTCTCCCTCTTTTGGCAGACTGCTGTGCTAGCTTCTCTTTGCCCTTTGTGGCAAGGGGCAGTTAAAGAGAATTAGTTAGTAGGCTGAATATCCTGTTGTTGAGGTAACAAAGAAGTTGGCAACAGAAACTGCATGCTCAGGTATTTTCTATTCCCCCCCAAAATTTTTGAATATCATATGCTTACTTTCATTTTTGCATCCTTTATTTCATTTTCCAATTTCTTTTATATATTTGTCCCTTTCAATATTTGTTTTTCTAGTCTACCATTATACTTACACCTTCATTAGTATCTTATTGTCTCTATTTTATTGACTTACACTCCACTTTCTCTTACACAGTCTTTAATAATTACTGTTAATGTATATAGTCTTGAGACAAAAAATGATAATGGTAGAAACTGTGTGAAGTAAAATGTAAAATTACCTCATTTCTTTACAATATTTCCTTCCCAGAGGGAGCCATATACTGTGTCCACACAAATATTTTCATCTATATATGTGGTTCTGCAACTTTTCACACAAAACATCATTGATCTTTATATGTGTGTGTGTATATATATATATATAATATGTATATATATATAACATGTGTATATATATATACACACAATAATTTACTCCATAAAAAAGTATTGTATTGTAGTCTCCTTATTAGTAAGATATCCCTTTTTTGTTAAAAACACATAAACACATACACATACACCTTCATAAAGTATATGAAGATAAGCACCAAATTGTCAAATTTGGTCAATTCTGGAGACTACTGGGGGCAGGGTTTTTAAACCTCATGCCTTTTGATCTTTGGATTTTTTTCTTTTACAAATGAATAATAAATATTGGCTGTAATTAGAAAAGATGAAAAAGAACCCTTACACTAGTGTAGGACTTTACAGTCATCAAAGCAGTTTTGAATCTTTCACTTCCTTTCATTTTCATAATTTCGTGGGATACCCATGCAACACATCACTCACGCTTATAAGTGAGGAATCGAGGGTTAGAGAGGTTACTTACTAGTCTAAGGTCACATGGTCAACAAAGGCAGAACTGAAGCTGGAGAACTGACTCTTTCCAGATCATGTGGTTCAAAATGACAACTTGGCTAATATTATCACTAGGCAGACTTTTTCCTTTTTAGCGCATGTGAGCTAAAGATACAGATGTCCTTAGTGATTCCCGATATTTTTCATCTCATTCAGAAAATTGGCAGTTATTAATAGCTAAGACCACATTGAATAAACAGTGAGGTCAGGAAACAGCAGTTATTTCATGGTGGGGACACAGCAGGGTAGGACACGCTGCTCCTCTGAGCCTGGTTTCCAACAAGCTACATCAATGGCTCAAGAAGCATTTCTACACTTGATGTATATTTATTTGCTGGTCTACCAAGTAATTCTTCATAATCACTTGGCTTTATGCTGCCCTAAAACCTCCAACCTTAGAAGACATTCAGACACAGTAACTACTATTAATATTTGCTGAAAATCAAATTGTTCCAAGAGATGATTCCTCAATATTGAGTACTGGCAAGATGATACATCTTACCGAGTGTGAGAGTATACTTTGTTTCTAGGGTCCATTCAAAGTCATGGAGAAAAACATCAATGCTCTATGAACTGATTAAAGGAGCAAGTCCTGAAGGAAACATGTGAAAATAGAATTAGCCAAGTACACAAATGTCTTTGGCTGGAAAATATCTTGTAATCCCTAAGTTGCACAACATCTTCCATCTTATTTACCAGGTGGCCTATTGTAAATAATTCTAAGACAAAAGATGGAGCAATGCTCCCTGAGTCAGCCCCAGCAGTAGCGGCCACTGTCTAGTTTGCCATCAACAAATTCCCACTGAGTACCTGCCCCATGTCAAACACGGGGCCTGTCCTGAAACCAGAGCCTTTAGTTGATTTTATTTTGTCTCTCCTTCTTCATCACCCCCTTATGAAATATCTCTTATGAATTGCAATGTTAGGACTGAATGCTTGTATTACATTCTTTTTCCTTTTTATTTATTTATTTTTTATTAAGGTATCATTAATATACAATCACATGAGCAACATTGTGGTTACTAGATTCCCCCCATTACCAAGTCCAGCAACATGTCCCATTACACTCACTGTCCACCAGCATAGTAAGATGCTATAGAGTTACTACTTGTCTTCTCTGTGCTATACTGCCTTCCCCATGCTCCCACTACATTACGTGTGCTAATCATAATGTCCCTTAGCCCTTCCTTCCTCTCAACCCTCCCCAGTCCCTTTCCCTTTGGTAACTGTTAGTCCAGCTTGGGTTCTGTGAGTCTGCTGCTATTTTGTTCCTTCAGTTTTTGCTTTGTTCTTATACTCCACAGATGAGAGAAATCATTTGTACTTGTCTTCCTCCACCTGGCTCATTTCACTAAGCATAACACCCTCTAGCTCCATCCATGTTGTTGCAAAAGGAAGGATTTATTTTCTTCTTATGGCTGAATAATATTCATTGTGTATATGTACATCTTCTTTATCCATTCATCTACTGATGGACACTTAGGTTGCTTCCATTTCTTGGCTATTGTAAATAGTGCCAAGATAAACATAGGGGTGCATATGTCTTTGAATCTAGGCTCCTGCCTTCTTAGGGTAATTCCATAGGAGGAGAATTCCTGGGTCAAATGGTATTTCTATTTTTAGTTTTTTGAAGATCCTCCATACTGCTTTCCACAATGGTTGAACTAACTTACATTCCCACCAGCAGTGTAGGGGGGTTCCCCTTTCTCCACATCCTTGCCAACATTTGTTGTTGTTTGTCTTTTGGATATTGGCCATCCTAACTGATGTGAGGTGATATCTCATTGTGGTTTTAATTTGCATTTCTCTGATAAGTAGTGATGTGAAGCATCTTTTCATGTGCCTCTTGGCCATCTGGATTTCTTCTTTGGAGAAGTGTCTGTTCAGATCCTCTGCCCATTTTTTAATTGGCTTATTTGCTTTTTTGGTTGTTGAGAAGTGTGAGCTTATTATATATTTTAGATGTTAACCCCTAATTGTATATGTCATTTATGAATATATTCTCCCATACTATAGGATGCCTTTCTGTTCTACTGATGGTGTCCTTTGCTGTACAGAAGCTTTAGAGTTTGATATAGTCCCACTTGTTCATAGTTGCTTTTGTTTCCCTTGCCGGGGGAGATGTGTTCAGGAAGAATTTGCTCATGTTTATATTCAGGAGATTTTTACCTATGTTTTCTTCTAAGAGTTTTATGGTTTCATAACTTACATTCAGGTCTTTGATCCATTTCTAGTTTACTTGTGTATATGGAGTTAGACAGTAATCCAGTTTCATTCTCTTACATGTAGCTGTCCAATTTTGCCAACAGCAGTTGTTGAAGAGACTCTCATTTCCCCATTGCATATCCATGGCTCCTTTATCATACATTAATTGACCATATATTCTTGGGTTAATATTTGGACCCTCTATTCTGCTCCACTGGTGTATGGGTCTGTTCTTGTGCCAGTTCCAAACTGTCTTGATTACTGTGGCTTTGTAGTAGAGCTTGAAGTTGGGAAGTGAGATCCCCCCTGCTTTATTTTTCCTTCTCAGGACTGTTTTGGCTACTCGGGGTCTTTTTTGGCTCCATATGAATTTTAGAACTATTTATTCCAGTTTGTTGAAGAATGCTGTTGGTACTTTGATAGGGATTGCATTGAATCTGTAGATTGCTTTAAGCAGGATAGCTATTTTGACAATATTAATTCTTCCTACCCAAGAGCACAGGATGCATTTCCATTCATTAGTGTCCTCTTTAGTTTCTCTCAAGAGTGTCTTGTAGTTTTCAGGGTATAGGTCTTTCACTTCCTTGATTATGTTTATTCCTAGGTATTTTATTCTTTTTGATGCAATTGAGAATGGAATTGTTTTTCTGATTTCTCTTTCTGCTAGTTCATCATTAATGTATAGGAATGCAACAGATTTCTGTGTATTAATTTTGTATCCTGCAACTTTGCTGAATTCAGATATTAGTTCTAGTAATTTTGGAATGGATTCTTTAGGGTTTTTTATGTACAAATCATGTCATCTGCAAACAGGGACAGTTTGACTTCTTGCTTACCAATCTGGATGCCTTTTATTTCTTTGTGTTGCCTGACTGCCATGGCTAGGACCTCCAGTACTATGTTGAATAACAGTGGGGAGAGTGGGCATCCCTGTCTTGTTCCCAATCTTAGG